CTCTTGGGTAGATGTCAACTAATTTTAGTGATTTACATCTATTAAACTTGTCAATTTAGTCTAGAGTATCCTGTGCACTTACTACAAAGATTCTGCAGGATCTGCTTTCTGAACTTGCTTTATATGATGATTTATATTTTAAAAGGGCAAAGATATGTTCGTTCTTTTGTATAGTCTCTATTACTTCTTCTTGCCAGAGGACATGTTTTCTGAGCCTCTCTAAGATGTTACAAAATGGTTTCTAATGGCAGTTTCCCTTTTTAAAAAATACCCCATATCTTACCTAAAGCATTCAAAGGACCAGTTTGAATTTAAATACCCAGTCCATGAACATTTGGTCATTTCAGATTTGTCACAGGCACATTGCTGTGTAAGTGTCATGTTCTCCACCTACACAATGGGAACAAAGATGGTAAGGTGGTGAAAAGTGCCCAAGATTCTCTAAGACTAGGTGTTCCTCAGATGCTTTCTGATCCTTCCATCTTTCTGTGAATTCTCCTTTATGTCATCCTTCCCTTAACTTCTCCATGTAAAGTGGTGGAGTAGAAAGTTCACTGGATTTGGAATTAGATTAGTCTGACACACTAGTTGTGTAGTAATAGTTACTTAAACTCTTTGATCATTGATTTCTTCATCTGCAAAGTGGATGACGTCTCAATGAGGAATTAGAGGCTGGATATATCCACACTACTTAGATATGCCATAGTCTCGACCATAGAGTTGCTCCATGTTGTGTTCCTCCAGAACTATGTTCCTTTTGGCAAAACATATAGCTTACTAGGCATAAGGTTATAGAAGATTGAAGGTGATGGGGGTCTACGGTTTAGGGCACAGATAGGATGTGGGATGCTTTGATGGGAAATCCAGACTATGTTCTCTCTGTTCCCACTCAAAAAGGGTGTTGTCATCCTTCCCTTAACTTGTATCACTTGAAAAGAAGCACTCAGCATGTAGAAAGTGCCCAAACTGATTTCAAGAACAGAATAAAAGCTTTATTTGCAAAGAATTAATTTACACAAACTTACATCTCAGTTTATATACATTATATATAGTTTATATACACAATATTTCACACTGGAAGCTGACCCTCAAAGCAGCAATGACAATGGCCATTCTCACAACAATGTCTACCCACAACCCCTTTTGGTAAGAGTGTTCAAATGGATTAAAATGAAAAATCAGGACCTTTGTCTCTTCTAATATAGTCTCAAAGACCTTCCAGGCAGGGATAGGGTTAAGGCAACATGGGAATAGAGAATGGTGGTGGTAGTGATGTTTGAGTACTTCCAGTCTCTAGTTTGTGGGTGGAAGAGAGAAGGGAGCCTGTGTGAGATAGTGACTGCCCTACCCCTCACTCTACTGAGTTAGGAGGGGAAGGCTTTTAGCTTTTTCACCACTTTGGATAGTTCCTTCTGTAGGCTTCACTTTCCACATGAATAGAAAAGTAGACGTTTTCATGACATAAAATGTAGTTTGGTATATACTCCCTGGAGCCCTGGTGGCATAGTTCTTAGAAGCTGTGCTGCAATCCAAAAGGCACACAGTTCAAATACATGAGAAACTCCACACACACACACACACACACACACACACACACACACGACATAAAGAAAAGAAAAAGCATGGGCAACCTCCTCCTGTGTGTAATTACTTCTGAAAATCCTCTAGATGATCAACTATGGGTCAGTTTTGACTTCATGGCAAACAACAACCACAACAGAATCTTACTAACTGTGAAATTCTCTGATTCTCTTTGGGTCCATTAGAATTTTTTAAAAACATATGGATTAGTCTTTCTTTACCTCTCGAGTTGACAGACCTTTGCTAATTAGGTAAAGAAATTCAGTATAAAGAAAGGAGTACTAGAAAAAGACTACATTTTCCAGAGACCCTGTAGCTGAGCAGCTCCTATATTTTCCATTTGTGACAACTTCAGCTGTTGAAGCCCAAGAAAATAGCAAAAAGGCCTCTCTCTACTTAATTCTCCTTCAAATCTGTCATTTTCTTGTCCACAAATGTCCTTGTCTCTTCTTCCATGTTAGCTTTGGCCTTCTGATAAACTTACTGTTGAAATTTCAAACTGAAAATCTATTTCCACATTCTTTTATCAGTAAATTTCTTCAACCTTTGATGATAACTTTGCTGCATCAAGGCTCTCCAGCTACCTATTGCTTCCCTTTGCAATCCTCTTTCCTTCTTTTGAAGGTTCTGAATGAATAAAGGATTCTGTGTGAATCTAATTTCCCTCTATATCTGAAGAACAGGATGAGCATCAAAATGTTCAAGGACACAAATAGGAAACGTTTGTTTTTCCTTACACCCTTTTCACATTAGAATCATGTTTTTCTCAGGTCTTTCCTCTATCCTTGAGAGATGCTAATAGTTCTAAGGTCTTTGTGGTGTGGTAGAAGTGATAAGGTGTCACTTAATAGCTATGTAAAGTGAGACAGTTTCTAAACCCTGTCTGTAGGGTAACTAAAGAAGGAACTTTTCCAGCAGAAGATCCATACACAATAATTTATTGGTTTGTCAGGTGGATGAAAGAGCATGTGGGGTAACTGTTTTGTATGTACAGTTCCTTGCTGAAGTTCCTGGGTAGTACAGATGTGCTTGCTTGCTAACAAAATGGTTGGTTTGAGGCTACCCAGACACATTTGAGAAGAAAGGCATGGTAATCTACTTCAGAATGAACAGTTAATTAAAACTCTATGGAGCACAATTATACTTTAATACAATGGGGTCACCATGAACTAGAATCAGTAGCACCTAGTTTAAAAGCCTACTGCTTGGACTTTGTGCCAACAAGATACTTCTGAAGAAGATTTCAAAGGCTTATGACTATTTTCCAAAACAACCATATTGCTTCCCTGGGAATTCAAGAGAATAGGCATTACCACCAAGGAATTATAGTGAGCATCTCTAACTTTCTCTCTAGGGTTTTGGTTCCACATTACCCCTTTTATTATATCTCTCTAGACTCTCAAATTCAACACGATGTTATCGTGTAGTGGAATAGTACCAGCTTTGGAGTCAGACCTGGTTGAAGCCCCAGATCTATGACATAAACTAGGGAAGATCTTGGCCAAATCACTTAACCCCTCTGAATCTTATCTAACAATAGACTATAGTATTATCTGCCCTTATTCAAGGGAATAATAAAAGCAAAAGTACTTTCCAACTTTAAGGAGGTTTTCTTATCAGTTCTTGCTACAACTGAGGACTGCCCAAGGTATTTTACATTAATTGGGGCCAGACATAAGCTTAAAGAAAGTTTACTTCATCTTAAGTTTTAAGGTCATCATTAGCAACCAGACACTGGAAACATGTTTCAACATTTCTTGCCCAAACACTTGAAGGGTTGCTACAAAAGGGAAGGGACAGTTGAGAAATATGTATCTGCTATTTTTGGTAGATTTTAGCTGTCTGAGGGAACTTATCTCTCATCTCTTCAAAGAGAAACAAGTTTTATGATCAAGACCAACACATTATATAAGTTGGCCCTCCTAGTTTTAGTTTGGACCTAACATCCAGATGCCTAGTTGGGTGTAGGCAGAAGAGCCCACACTTAGGACTCCAAAATAAAGCTTGCCTTATGAACCAGGGTAGGGTAAGGTAAGGTATAAGCTTAGGGTGGACAAAGGTGTCTTTGAACCTGCACTAGAGGGAAAAGTCCTGCTCAATACATAGAAGTGGGCTTCTTCTGAGCCTGGATTTCAAGGGATCAGTACTGGAATCTGTGGTGACTATGTCAGTATGGTATCAGCTGATGTCCTTTCAGAAAAAGATTAAATTAATTACTACTTGAGTTGCAGAAAACTTAGAAAAGATAAACCAAAAAACTTATCTTTTTTTCCTCTACTCCGCTCTTTCTAGGACAGATTAAAAAAACTATGCCTTACATAGAGCATTTTAGGGATTGAGAGTTTTAGGAGGCTATAATAGAAATTTTCTCTTAAGAGCTGCAAATATTAAAGTGTGAAGGCACTTCTGGAGGTCTTCCAACTTGACCCTTTTTTTCAGACACAGCTCAACTATATGAATACTTTTGTTTCTTGTAAATGAAAATTTATTTCTGTGCCTGATAAACTAAAAAGCACCCCTGACTTACATAAACATAGGTTCCAGGTTAGGCACCTGTCTCAGACAGAGGTAGGCTCTGTGGAAAAGAAAAGACAGGAATTTTGATCAAGCTAGGAAGTGGATAATTGGTAAGGCACTCTAAGGAATTTTCTGAGTGGGGAGAAAAGCTGTAAACAAATTAAAAGGTGTGTGGCCACAAGTATGAATTTAACATTGATCTGATTCAGGAATGTTTATGACCATTTCCTGCAGTTGTTGAAAAGAAGAATATATGTCCTGTTTCCAAAGCCAAGAAACCAGCCCATAATGTGGCTCTCAGTCAGAATTGGAAGAGAATTTGTACTGTCTTTGAGGCTGAAATTCAGAGCAAGAAGGATATTCCCACTGTCAAAGATGCACCACTGGTAGTTTTCTTTCTGATTTTGATAAAAATGGTTTTCCTCCTTCTCTGTCCCTCTCTTTTGGCTGCAACCTTCCCCTCACTTCCACCCAAGTTGGGAGCCAAAGTTATTCCAGCTTCTGATTGCTATCTGTGTGCCCCTGGGGCAGCAGCCTCCCTGGGGTCAGATATTGAGGCCAGAATCTGGAGTTTACCTTTACTCTCTCTTGTTTGTTGGTCTGGATCCTCATTGTAATGCAATGCAACTAATAGCAGAGACCCTGGAGTTGAAGAGTCATGGCATAAATCAGTCAACAGAAGCCAAAGAAATTGATTCTGCTTCATGTAAACCCTGAGTCTCCATCAACTGCCTTGTTTACTCAAGATCATTCTGAAAAGTCAATTAAGCCTTGTCATCCTGAAGTCACTGGGGAATAAATAGTAGTGGAGCATTTCTCTCTGTAATTGCAGTGCCAATATACCTCATTCTACAGCAGCACTTAAAAGCTTTGGGAGTCTCAGCTCCCAAACCTGGGGTGGGGGCAAAACAAGGAGAATCTAGGAAGCAGGGGCTTCACCCAGCCTGATTGCACCAAAGAAGGTAGTGTGCTTGCTCATATTGATTGAGATGTCAGCATGCACCATCTTCACTGCAATCTTCTGCCGGGCTTTGAGGAGGCATACACCAGCGGTATAACAAGTATTGTAGTTGGTCTTGCCTGTCTCGATGCTGCGTGTGCACTGAAGGAAAGGCTTCTCATCCACCACCACCTCATAGCTGGCAAAGTCAGTGAAGTTGATGTAGTATACCTGGGTGAAAGGCAATAAGAATGGATTGGGGGAGAGAGGAAAAAGAGGGTAGGGCTCTCCTGTGATGATAACATACATAAAGTATCTCAGATGAGCTACTAGTGTATCTGAAGGTGTGCTAGTTGGTCAACAGGAAGGACAGAGGAGCAGGCTTATGATTTGCCTCTCCTCCCTCCATGGAGTTCAGTGGCTAAGCAAACTTATAAAACTTCTATTCTCTGTGAAGGCAAGAACCATATTTTATTTTTTTTCTTTTACCCACCCCTTTTTCTTCTACCCTATTCAGCCCTAGCATGAATTACAGTGCTCTGTTTATATTAGGGGTTCAATCAGTGCTACAGAAATAAGTAAATATTGAGTTTCAGTTTCAAAACTCAAACGAGAGTATTTGTGTATATACTCAGAAGTCATTGATTATGAAGTTCCAGTAACAACTTGCTATTTCTATAGCCTTTTAAGCAAAAAACTTGGATCTCTTCCCCTAGTCACTATACCCCTCTCTGCTTCCTGCTACTGTTGAATTGCTTTCACTGACTCTCACAATGCCTCTTTGGTATTCTTGTGTGATGACTAAGGAAACAGATCTAGAGAGATGAAGAGCTATCCACCAAATAAAATACTCAATAGGGCAAAGCCCATGTTTGTAATTTCACTTCTTTTCCAGAAAGCAGCACTAACCTATGGCCAGTCCTCATTGGAATGGTCAGTCCTCATGGAGAATTTTCCTAGCTGACATAATGTGTAAGTCCTGAGGCCATTCCCAATTCTCTTCTAGATGCAAAAAATTACTTTTTTCATTAATTCAGCACATTAACCTATTCATCATATTTCACCTCAGTTTTGATCCATATCCTCTGTTACAAATAGATTCTAGTCTGTAGAACATTGGGAATATACCTTCTTGCTCCCTGGAAGTTGAGACTTTCCTCCCTCACCTTAAATCACTTTATAAAAAGTCAGTTCCTCCACAGGCTCTTCAGAAGAGAGTATGGTATTCAGATGCCATGTAATACCTTGAGCCAGGATCCAAACTATACCAGTATGCAAATGCTGCTGGCTCCATAGTCTTTCTATCAATTATCTGTTCGCTGGCTGCACCTCAGAATCCTCAAGTTCGAGGCTCATTTACCTCTATCTCTGAGGAGCTACTCCAGTGGAGGCTAACAACTGGGGTTAGAAATGGATGAGCATTTTCAGGCTTGGGGAATGAGTTCAGAGCAGGAAAAAGACAAAAACCAGAGAGAAAAGGGTTGGTAGAACGATAACAGAAAGGAGGTAAGAATGGTTGACAACCAGAAAAACAAGTAGGAAATAAAAAGGAGATAGAGGAAGGAAAGACAGTAAAATCTTTTTAAGATAGCAAGTCTTCAGTAACACTATGCTTATAAAGCCTAACAGTGTTGAGGAACACTGGTGGTATAGTATTTTATGTGTTTATCTGCTAACCAAAAGGGCAGCAGTTCAAGTCTACCAGTTGTTCTGTAGGAGGAAGTTGGGCAGTTTGCTCCTAGAAAGATTTGCACCCTCAGAAACTGATGGCTGTGTGTTTTGTTTTGGTTTAAGCATTGTTGAGGAAAGTCTTTCTCAGGGGACTTGGAATTAACTTTCAAAGAGTCTACTGTGACCATAGGCCATAGTCAGTTGTGTTGCTAACCCAAAGACCATGCATCTCTCTTGCAGTTCAAACTCAACCATCAGCTTTGAGGGAGAAAGATGGAGTCTTCACCTGTGACAATTTTCACTCTCAAGAAGGGTTACTATGAGTTGGAAGTCATTCAGTGGCAGTGAGTTTGAGGTGTTTAGTTTTTATTAAGACCAGAGTTCAAACGCAGAGAGAGAACAAGGAGACATCAACTCATAGGCCTGGTGCCCTAAAGTCAGCAATAGATATCAAAGATGGGATGACCTCTATTACAGTTTTCCAATGATAATATGACTAGGGAAAGAACTAAAGCACCTCTTGTTTTCCTTTCTTTCAATTCCCACCCAGTGTTTGCCCCTCCACCCTCTTCCCTCAAAGCTAGAAGTTAGTCATTGACTAATCTTGACTGGCTCCGGTGCCCCTTTGTGACTTGCTCTGGATCTGCATTCTAGATATAAGAAGAGTTAGGCCTAAGACCGTACTCACTTCTACCTGACTATAGACGAAGTAGGTGCCGTCCACCAGTACCTCCAGCTCCCCACTGCGGGGATGTAGTTTAAACACCTTGGGGTTCATAGTGATGCGAGACCAGTCATTGAGCACTCCACCTGAAAGATCTCAGTATGAGAGAAGGGCAATCACTCAGTACGTGTTAGAATGATCTGGGCAATAAAAATAAGAAATAGCAAACAGAATACAATTCCCACTTCATCCCACTGCTACCAGGAGAGTTTGTAAAGCAGCTGCCAGGCTTGCCTCAGGTCACTGTAAGTTGTTCTTTCTCCTTTCCTGACCTCTCTGTCTGGATGAATCTTTAACTACTACTTTCTAACTAGATTCTCACCCCCCCCCGCCCCCCAGGAGGCAGGTAAGAGGAGAATGGACATGCTGCCCTATTTTCTTTGTTATTCTGGAACTGGCACAGGCAGAATTCAGACACTGAATGGCAGGTTAATTCTTATTATTCAATTTTATTCTCCCAGCAGTAGCTCCTCAATCTCTTTCATGTCTTACAGATTCATGGATTTTTCTCCTTTCCTCTTAAGAGATTCCTTTTAATTGTTTCTCCATATCCATTCCTTTCTGGAAAGTCTTTCTAGGTCCCAAGTAAAACTACTCAGCACAATAAACCATTTATCTGAAGAACTTTAGAGAACAGAGGTGATTCAAACTCCATGGCAATCAAAATGAGTGCCCACCAGGAAAGAGGAGTCCTAGGTGAAAAGGATATTTACAGCAGCGGAGGATGAACTTGCAAAGTCACCCTAGAATCATCCAGGGGAATGGGGTGTGTACGCCTGGGAGATGAGGCACTGTTGGCAAAAAATTGTCTTTTAACCTCATCTCAATCAAAGGTGGAGGGCCTTGGCTAGTGAGAGCTGTCATACATTAAGCAGGGGTAAACTTCCCATTTTATCCCCAAGGAGAGAGATACTCCTTCCAACCAAGAGGAAAGAGTCCAAGCTCATGACAAAACCATCCAGTCTTAAGTAAAAAAATTATGTTTTCCATAAACATGTTTGGCCAATCTCAGTAGGCTTGGCTCTCTGTGGTGTAAGGAAATAGGCTTTCTGAAAAAGGTGGCCAGCCATCTATCTTAGAGGTGATACATAGAAAGATAAGAGTTAGGAAGGGATGTCCTGGATTCCCCATTTCTTTGGACTGCTTTGCATGACATTCTCCCACTTGATTCCTAGTGGAGCTACTACTACTAGGAATTGCTATAGGGGATTTGGAAACAATCTTAATATTTAGCAATAGTGACAAAAAACTCACCAAATGGCAAAAAAATAGCCCCAGGAGGATTTCTTTGGTTTTGGTACTATTCTGTTCCTTATTATATTTTTTAAGCTATTAGTCAGAAACAAGCCCCAACCATTAGGAGGCTCAGAACAGTCAGTTCAGTACTGACTGGGCTCTTAGAAGCTAGTGCTATGAAGCAGGTTTCTTAATCTTTCTTTGTTCTTTCCACATGCATAGATTCTTCTTTTAATTCTAAGCTTGTAAGTAGCTGGCACCTTGCTTAGATTGCTGTTTACCAAGGCACTTGAGGCTAACGGAATTTAGGTCTTGTCTACTGTAGGGATTAGACATTATTTTAAAGCTCTGTTCTTGAATGAATATTCAGGTCTTTTTGAGCCGAGGGAAAAAAACCCTAATCACTCAATAGAGTATATTTATACATCATAAGTACTATAGTATATGGGGAAAGTCAGACAGCAGGACTTTTCAAATCCACCTTCTCATTTAAACAACTATGAAGTCTTCGACAAATTAACCTCTCTAAGCTTTGGTTTCTGTCTATAAAAAGGGGGTAGCATCTACCTTATAGGACTGTCCTGAGAATTGAATAAAATACAAGACAAGGAAAGCATGTTGGAAACTCTGAAGTGTCATACAAATATAATTCAATGTGGTTAATTAAAGTATTATTCAATCTTTCTGGGATTTTGTTTCCTTATCTTTTAAATGCAGAGATTATATTAATTCCTTGCTTTTAAACTTTATTAAGCCTGTTCCTCTTTTTGATAGTAACTTTCATCTCACACTCCCTGGAAGTTCTGGCATGCCCCAATCCCATAGAGAAAGCCCTCATCTCACTTCTGATATCCATTTTCTGTGTAGACCCATCCAACAGACAAGAAGAATTTAATTTTATGTGTCTTTAACTTCTCTAATTTGAATTGTGACAAACTCATCAAACTTATCAAGCATATCAAACTATGCATAACTCTAACTTCCATCATCCATCTCCAAATTTCCCAGGCTAGATGATGAGTCAAATTCCCTTTTGCTTCATGATAAAGGATATAAAGTGCAATTTGGGTGTTGGTCTTGGTACAAGTACTTACTCAGGATAGCCTCAGAAGGGAGGATGGAGTAGTGAATGGTCCCCTATGCAAAGAATACCTTACCTTAGGAGCTTGAGAGGAGCTGTTAATATGTCATCAAGTCTAACCTACTCATAGTTGACCCTCTAGCAGGTTTTCATAGGCTGTAACTTACACAGGGAGAGATTGTCCATCTTTCTCCCACAGAGTAGCTGATAGATTACAATCACCTGCATTAGGTTTGGCAGCACAACTCCTTACCCAGCTGAGAGAAACTGTTGTTATAATCAGGTGCTGTCAAATTGAGTATGACTCATAGAGACACTACAAACAATAGACTAGAATCCTGTCCTATCTTGTGCTACCCTCACCATCTCCGATGCTCTTGATCCTATTGCTGCAGTCACATGTCAATCTATTTCTATGGGAGTCTTTCTCTCTTTCCCTGACCTTCAACCTTTCCAAATATGATATGTAGGCTGGACAATTATTTGGAGGTTAAAGATGAGGGAAAGGAGCTCTGGTGGTCCAGTCCCTAAGGGTGTTGTACTTCTAACCAAAAGGTTGCTCAGAACCTGATAGAATCAGAAACCTGATAGAGGGGCACTAAGTGTAGGAATCTACTCAAAGGTGGTGAGTGAGGGAGAGGGGTGAGGGAAGAGAGAAGTTCTTAGGGATAGATCCTACTAGGATTCTTACCATTCTTGACTTGAATTGCTGACCCTTGGCCCTGCAGATGCACCACCGCTGGCTGGGAGGATGAGAAGGATAGTAGTTACTGAATAATGGCTGATTGTTTGCTTAGTCACAGGTTCTCAGGCTTCCATTTCCAGTTTCTAGTCTCTTTTTATATCTAAATTCTGATCCCTATACATGCTAGTGAACACATTTCTGATGTAATCTTGTACCTCTGTCACTTCTAGTTATGTTGTTGTTAGTTGCTATCCAGTTAACTGGACATAGTTGTTCTTGTTATGTGTCATTGAGTCAGAGCTGACTCATAGCTGACCCTCCAGTGGGTCTGCGGGGGCTGTAAATTGCATGGGAGGAGATTGCCCATCTTTCTCCTAAGAAACAGCTGGTGGATGAAAATTGCCTGCCTTTAAGATTACAGTACAGCTTCTTATCCACAAAGCCACCAAAGCTCCCTCGACACTATGTAGCCCTGGTCAAATGTAATGCCTTATTTCCCCAAAAGTAAGATGGAGTTTATAGGAACTTCCTTCTTGTCTCCCTCACAGGAATATTTGAAGATCAAATGAGGTGATGGATATAAAACTGCCCATGCAAACATTGTGCAGCTGTATGAATTTCTTACTGTAGTCAAACAACTGCAATGAGGGGATAAAACAATGTAAGGTAGCCAAACCAACTAATAGAGACAATTTAGGAAGCTCAGACAGATTAGGAAGGAACCTTCCCAGATTAAAGCAGAAGCCCATTTGGTGGCCTAGTAAATTTTAGCCTAGGTGAACAGGTATGTCTAGAGGTCTTTCAGCAGCCCACTGACTTTCTGTCTACACAGAGTGAAGAAAAATGGCCTTGACAATCTCAGTTCCTTTAGTTGAAGGCAGGCCCTAGGATACAACTTTTCTAGTTCTACAAATGGGAGGAGACTAAGTGAAAACTTCAGAATTTTCAGGATCGTCTTACAAAATAAAGTCTCAGTCAGTTTAAGAGGGAGTAAACAAAAAGGTGGCTCTATCTATAGTCTCCTTTCTTTCCCAGAAAGAAAGCAATCCCCAGCCAACCTGGTTTTCTCGGGTTCCAGTTTTATCAGCAGCACCTGAAAAATAGAACAGGCCAATCAGAGGGCATGTTCTTTTTTACTTCCTTTTCTCTCCACCTAGATTAATGGCAGTGAGCCTTGCTTGCTGCAGGCCAGCCTCACATGTGTTTAATCTCCAGTTAAAATATCTGAGGAGAGGCAGAGAGCAACACAGGACCTGAAATGGGAGTCTATCTTTATCATTTTCTTTTCTTTCCTATCTCTTGCTTACATTTTTAGTGGATCTAGCACTGAGCAGGTAAACTGTCTTTTTGTCACTGCTAGCCCAAGTCAGCTCTACTGAGCAGACATGAAGATGAAAGGGTATATTCCTGTCCCTGTAGACCTCTGAGACAATGTTGTTTTGGTTTGTTTGTTTGTTTTCCTTTTTGTGTACCTTTGAACCAGATCTGACTGGCACAAGAAGAGGTTGCCCCTCCTTCTCCAGTGGAGCATCTGGTGGATTTGAACCGCGCACTTTTGGGATTGCAGCACAGGTTCTTGCCACTAGCCTGCTACAGTTCCCTGAGACAATGGTTTTGTTTATTTATCATGCAGTCTTTTGCTTTCTTATTATTTATTTTCTTCATAGAGCTTATTAATATTTGTTATTATCTTCTTTATTTAACTTTCTCTTCTCCAGTAGTACATAAGCTCCATGAGAACAGAGACCACTAATAATATATCTTGCACACATTGAAAGTACTCCATATTGGTGAAATGGTAATTATTACAAAAAACATACCTAACTTTATCTCTTGTGCCAATGATAATAGTGATTCTGGTTAACCTTATTTGAATTCCAACTTGAAGAAAACTGAGTTCTGCTGCAGAATTCTTGGGCCTGGAGAAATTAGTTGTAGAAGTCTATTCATTTAAAACTCTAAGATATAGGAGGGTAGCAGGGTAAATAACTAACGATTTATATAAGTCCAGTAAATTCTGCTTGTTTCAACTCCAATTAGGCTAATTTAGATTTGCATTAATGTTTTGGAGGACCTTCTGATGGCAAGAAAAAACTATGTTTATTGCTGTGTTATTCACAATAGCAAAGAGATGGAAGCAACAACGCCCATCAACAAATAAATGGATTGAAAAACTGGTGTATATTCACATAATTAAATACTATGCAACACTGAAAAACAATGAACTCGTAAAATATTACACTATAAGGGTGATCCTCGAGGACATTATGCTGAGTGAAATATCTCAGTCACAAAAGGACAAATACTGTACAGCACCACTATTACAAAACAGGACTGCCATGGGGGTTTGGGGGAAACTAAGAAAAGAGGGGATAAATAACACCGCATTGGAACAGATGAAGGAAATAAGTACTTAGAAGGAATATATGATTATGCATTATTTGTATGAAAACAGTTCAGAATAAGAGGTGCATAGCAAGGTGGACTAGGGAAAGGTAGGAGGTGGAGGAAATTATACAACAATGGATGATTTTTTTTTAAAAAAAAGTGAACTGGGAAGGGGGGGAAGTAGGAGAATGTGAAAGAATGAATGAATGAATGAATGAATGAAAATTCAACTTTTCTGTAAACTTGTTAAAATCACAATTAAAAATGAAAACAATTTTAAAAATCAAAACTATATGAAGAAATTAAATTATATTTGAAAGGGCAGTGTGAGTAGGATAAGATCTAGTGCAAGACAGGATAGTTGATGCCTAGGTTTGTTTCATACATAACCTGAATGATTCAAGTTTCCAATCCTTTACAGCTCAGTGATTCCTTATTTACCTCTATAGGAAAGGAGTTTTGGTGTTCATAGAGTTGTTACTCTGTCCAAATTCCCAAAGTTCATTCTCATAGCCTATTCCATGCAAACAACAGTATGTGAAGCTAGATGCTGGTTATACGAGCAGGCCAAAATTTGATGGGGGTGGGGGGTGAGGGAAATTGAAAGAATTTGTTCTTGAAAACAATGTATTCGAATTTTATAAATAAACTAGTAGATTTTTTTTTTAAAAAAGCTTTAAAAAGAGCAGGCCAAATCTACGACCTATAGGAATTTCCTCAGTGCTTTTGTGTCAAGCTCATATGAATTTACTGTCATGTACAGGTCCATAACATGGATATCTAAAGCCAGAAAGGAGTTGTGATGGCAAGGTTGAGGTAGTACAAGGACAGGTGATTTGTTCTTTTCAGGATGGCACAAATAAGAAGTTAGACAAGATCAGGCTTTTAACATTTCCAATTCCGTACTGGGATAGAAAATCTCTTCACCAACTCCATCAATACTATTTGAAAATGCTTTCAGAGTTATATACACCGGCTCTACTAAAGTACTTGAAAGGTGCATATGGGGGAGTATAGAGACAGTAGCTCACCAGAAGGTCCTTGGAGACCAGGGGGTCCTTGAGGACCAGGAGGACCTGGAGGACCAGGTGGTCCCATAACAGTTGTTCCTGGAATCCCAGGAATTCCTGGAATTCCTGGAGGTCCTTGGGGTCCTGAAGGTCCTGGAGGTCCTGGGGGGCCATTAGGTCCAGGAGGTCCTGCCTTCTTTCCTGAAAAGCAAGATTCAGGGTTACGTTTGTAGTTATTTACTGTTAGGAGTATACTGTCAGGACACTAAATTTTGTTCCCTGCAAGTTCCTGCTGATAAAGAGAGGGACATTTATTGTAATTGATACACACATTCTCCCTATCATCTTTCACTGAATAAACCTGAACTAGGTTTTAGTATAAAAAAAAAATAAATAGTCCTCAAGGAGCCCTTAAGGAGTTTATAGTCTACTGGGGAAACAGACACAGTTTAAGTATAGGAAAAATGCTACGTTAATGGTAAGGATAAAATACTGGAGAGAACGGAATGCTTCAAAAAGGAGGTCAGCACGCAGGAGCAATAATTGTAAATTATTACCTAGCTTGGGAGGGACTGGAGAGCATTATGCTGAATGAACTAACTCAGTCCCACAAGGATTAATATTGTATAAGATCATTATTGTAGAATGAGTATAAGGATCCAGGAGGGGTGGGAGAAGCTGGAAGCAGAGGGATGTGAATGTACAAGGGGAAGAGGGGATTGATGGGTGAGGGGGTGAGGGAAATTGAAAGAATTTGTTCTAATTTGTATTAGAAGTTTGTAAATGAGCTAATGAAAAGGGGGAAAAAAGAATTAAAAAGAAGGAGGTCATATTTCAGTTGAGTTCCAAAGGGTAAGAACTACTTAGTGATCATACCTATGTGTCACGTCCTGTATTTTTAGAAATGGGCTATTGTTGAAGAGTGTGACTTATATTTCTACTGCCCAGTTTAGTAGGCTTGATGTGGACAACAGAAGGTTGCTGAAGGGTAGCCAGACATTAGGAACAATATTTCTGCAGGGTCTGCTAGGCTCTTCCTATCGACTCCAGGAATGTTTGTATAGGAGTTAGAATATCCCAGCTCCCACTTCCTGTGAATAGTGAATGTGCCAGTTGGAAAAGAGGAATAGGAAGGAGTTTCAGAAAGAAGAAGTGTTCAGAGACAGAGAGAAAGAGACAGATACTCTAGAAAGAAGGGAAGGCCGAGACTATAGAGAGAAGAGGCAGCAGCTTTTGCTTCATAAGTTGACCTTTCTAAACCCTATTTTTAAAGATCACTGAGAAAAGATCTTCAAACTCCAACATATATCACCCCTCATTTTTAGGAACTGCTTCAATATATTTACGGAGCTGGTGGCTTAGTGTTAAGGAATTGTACTGCCAACCCAAAAGAAGGTCATATTTTTTATTTATTTTTAGGTTGTAGTTGTTGTTGTTATGTGTCGTCAAGTTGCCTGTGACTCATAGCGACCCTATGTACAACAGCTCTAAATACTGCTCTGTTGTGTGCTAATCTCACTGTCTCTGACACACCTACCACCACTACCCCAGTCACTGAGTTAATCCACCTTGCAGAGGGCCTTCTGCGCTGTCCCTCCAGCCTCCCAAGCATGACGTCCTTCTCCAAGGACTGGTCCCTCCTTGCAACATGTTCAATGTATGTCAGACAAAGCCCCAGAATCCTTGCCTCCAAGGAGCAGCCTAGTTTAACCCTCTCTAGGATGAATCTGTTCATTTTCTTAGCAGTCCACGGTATTTTCAATACTCTTCTCCAGCACCACAGCTTAATGGTATCAATTCTCCTTGTATCTTCCCTAGTCATTTTCCAGCTCTCTGATGCATAACAAGTGATTGCAAAGAGCATGGCCTGTATCAGGTGCCCCTTAGTCTCCAGAGTGATATCATTGCTCTTCAGTACCCTGGAGAGGTCCCTAATAGCAGATTTTCCCATCAAAATACGTCTTTTAGTTTCTTGGCTGCTGGTGCCAAGAGTGTTTACTATGGAGCCAAGAAAACTAAAGCTGTGAACAATCTCAATCTCTTCACTCTCCATTCTGATGTTGCCAAGTGGCCCAGTGTTGAGAATCCTTGTCTTCTTAATTTTGAGCCTCAATCCATATTGAAGGCTGCAGTCCTTGACCCTCTACAGCAAGTGCTTCAGGTCCTCCTCAGTTTCAGCAAGCAGGGTTGTGTCATCTACATAATGAAGACTGTTGATGAATCTTCCTCCAATCCTGATGCCACGCTTCTCCTCATAGAGCCCAGTCTCCCAGATAATCTGTTCTGCATATAGGTTGAAAAGGTATGGAGACAGGACACATCCCTGGCATACACCCTTCCCGATTTTGAACCATGCAGTGTTACTTTGTTCTGTTCTGACGACTGCCTCCTGGGCCAAATATAGGTTTTGCATTAGCACTATCAAGTGTTCTGGGATTTCCATTCTTCTCATTGTCAGCCACAGTTTGTTATGATCCACACAGTCAAATGCCTTTGCATAATCAATGAAACACAGATAGACATTCCTCTGGTATTCCTTGCTTTCAGCTAAGATCCATCTAACATTAGACTACAATATCTCTAGTACCATGACCTCAATCTGAACTTCTGGCAGTTCTCTGTTGATGTGCTGTTCCAGTCGTTTTTGGATAATCTTCAACAGAATTTTCCTTGCATGTGATATCAAAGATATTGTTCGATAATTTCCACTCTCTGTTGGATTTCCTTTCTTTGGAATGGGAACAAATATAGATCTCTTCCAGTAAGTTGGCCAAGTGGTTGTCCTCCAGATTTCCTGGCACAATTTGGTGAGCACATCTAGGGCAGAATCTGCTATTTGAAATAATGGCTATTTTTATATCATCAATTCCTGGAGCCTTATTTTTTGCAATTCTTTCAAAGGCTCTTGCTCCTATGTTGTTTCATGAAATTCTTCTGTCTGACAATTCCTTTTGGTACAATGACTCTGTGTACTCTTTTCATCTTCTTTTAATACTTCCTGGATCATTTCGTATTCTGCCTAGAGCATCTTTAAGTATTGCAACTTGAAGTTTGAATTTGTCTTCAATTCCTTGAGCTTAAGAAAAGCTGAGCGAGTTCAGCCCTTTTGATTTTCTGACTCCAGCTCCTTGCACATTTCGTTGTAATATTTTCTAAATCTGAGCATTCATATTAAGACAGACTAAGAAGAAGAATTGGCCAGCCATCCACTTCCAAAATAGCAGACCTCTGAAAACCTATGTACACACTTAGGGCAACTGAGGTGGAGTTCTCAAGTATGGAAATACAAAGGAAGAGGAAAAGTTGTATGCAGACACTAGTGGTTGGAACATGGAATGTGAGAACCATGAATGTAGGAAAATTAGATATTGTTAAGGAAGAAATGCAATGTGTAAATATTGACATACTAGGTATTGCCGAGATGAGATGGACTGGCATGGGACATTTTGAGTCAGACAATCATATGACCTATTATGTCAGAGATGAAAAGGTGAAGAAAAATGGGGTTGCTTTCATAGTTAAAAAAGTCATTTTTTAGATATGTCTTGAAATACAATATTGTGAGCAGCAGGATAATATCCATATGCATATAATGAAGTCCAGTGAATACCACTATCATTCAGATATATGCAGCAACAACCAGAGCCAAAGAAGAGGAAATAGAAGATGCCTACCAACTTTTGCAGTCAGAGATCAATTGAATATGTAAGCAAAATGCATGAATAATAATGGGTGACTGGAATACAAATGTTGGGAACAAAGAAGGAACAGTAGTTGAAAAACATGAACTTGGTGACAGAAATGAAGCTGAAGATAGAATGCTTGAATTTCGCACAGTCAAGAATTTAATTTATTGATTGCAAATACATTTTATAAGAGACATAAACACAGGTTATGCATATGTATTTCACCTGATGAATAAGGCATAGGAATAAGATTGATAACATGTGGAAAGAACCGCTGGAGCTGTGAAAACTGAGACAGGTGCTGATTGTGGAACAGATCACAAACTACTCATATGCAAGTTCAAGTTGAAGCTAAGGAAAAGTAAATCAAAACCACGGGATCTTGAATCTATCTCACCTGAATTTCAAAACTGTCTCAGGAATAGGTTTGAGGACTTGAAAACCAATGAGTGAAGACCAGATGAGTTATGGGAGGATAACAGGAATGTCATCCAGGAATAGTGCAAAAGGTCACTAGAAAGACAGAAGAGGAAGAAATGGAAGTCAGAAGAGACTCTGAATATTGCACTAGATTGCGGAGAAGCCAAAGCAGAGGGAAGAATTCAAGATACTAAAGAACTAAACAGAAGATTTCAAAAGGCAGCATGGAAAGACAAAGTATTACAATGAAATGTTCAAGGAGCTGGAGTCAGAAAATCAAAAGAGCTGAACTCGCTCAGCATTTCTTATGCTAAAGGAATTGAAGAACAAATTCAAACTTCAAGTTGCTATACTTAAGGATGCTTTGGGCAGAATATGAAATGATCCAGGAAGTATTAAAAGAAGATGAAAAGAGTACACAGAGTCATTGTACCAAAAGGAATTGTCAGACAGAAGAATTTCATGAAACAATATATGAGCAAGAGCCTATGGTGATGAAAGAAGAAGTTCAAGCTGCTTTGAAATAATTGGTAAAGATGGTATATCAATTGATGTATTTCAACTTACAGATGCTGCCCTAGATGTGCTCAACAAGTTGTGCCAAGAAATCTGGAGGTCAACCACTTCGTCATCTGACTGGAAGAGATCTAATATTTGTTCCCATTCCAAAGAAAGGAGATCCAACAGAGTGTGGAAATTATCGAACAATATCATTAATATCACATGCAAGCATGATTCTTCTGAAGATTATCCACAAACAACTGGAACAGCAAATCAATAGCGAACTGCTAGAAGTGCAGGCTAAGTTTTATTTGTATACATATTTCTATTTTATATTGGTTCACATACTAAATTCCTATACATTGTTTCATTCATATGTATTGTATTTCACACATTCTTTCATTCACATTGTGCTTCATACCATCATTTGTATACATTGTATGTTGTGGGGTTTGTTTACATATATCTATATCTATCTATCTATAGATTTATCTATCTATCTGTGTGTATATATGATGTATATATGTATATATATATGTGTGTGTGTGTGTGTGTGTGTGTGTATACACACACACACACACACACACACACACACACACACACAGCCTTCAGTATGGATTGAGGTTCAATGTCAAGAAGACCTAGATTCTCACCACTGGACCAATTGGCAACATCAGGATGGATGATGAAGAGATTGAGATTGTTAACAACTTTACTTTGCTTGGCTCCACAGTCAACACTCTTGGCACCATTAGCCAGGAAGTATTGCGAGCGTCAGCAGCCAGCGTGATGCAGCACCGAGCCTTCCTCCTCGCCCTACTGGCTCTCACTTCCGCAGCAGCCAAAAAGAAAGATAAAGTAAAGAAGGGCGGTGCGGGAAGCGAATGCACGGAGTGGGCCTGGGGGTCCTGTACCCCCAGCAGCAAGGACTGCGGAGTGGGTTTCCGTGAGGGCACCTGCGGAACCCAGACCCAGCACATCCGGTGCCTGGTGCCATGCAACTGGAAGAAGGACTTTGGAGCCGACTGCAAGTACAAGTTTGAGAGCTGGGGCGCGTGTGACGGAGGCACTGGCACCAAAGCCCGACAGGGCACACTGAAGAAGGCGCGGTACAATGCCCAGTGCCAGGAGACCATCCTCGTGATGAAGCCCTGCATCCACAAGACCAAAACCAAGACTAAAGCCAAGAAAGGGAAGGGAAAGGGTTAGAGGACTGAATGCCAAGAAACCTGCCTTCACCCTTCTGCAGGCCCAAGATATAACCCACCGGTGCCTTTTTTCTACACTAGCTTTATCAAACACGCTCTGCCTCTCTTCCTCACTCCCCCACATATATCCCCTCACCCCAAGCACTCAGAGTGGGGAGGGTCCCTGGATTCTGGGAAGTTTGGGCCTCCTCCCAAAAATATTTGATTCCCACTTGCCCTCCCCACTCTGTTCTTTCCCACAGTGACACCATGACTAGGAAACAAAATAAACCACCTTTCCCCCACCCCTCCAAA